TGCTGGCGAGGACCTGCTGCGAGCTGCAGGCGGACCCCCATGCCGCCCAGCATTCTATTAAGGTCCTGGCTGATATCTTCGTCACGGATGGAAACTTCCAGTTGGTGGTGCAGGCCCTGGGGCCGGCAGCTCCCGCCCCACTGCGCCTGCACTGCCTCTCCTTCCGGGCGGATAGCCTGGACCCCAGCCAGCTCCTGCAGGTGCTGTGTCTGGCGGGGCCTGGCGAGCTGCGCAGGCTGCAGGTGGTGCACAACGTGCGGCTGCACGCGGGCCACGTGCAGCAGCTGCTGGCCCAGCTGCACTTCCCCCAGCTGGTCTCACTCACCCTGCCTGCCAAGGCCTTTGACACGCCCCCTGCCTGCGCCCCAACTACCGAGGGTGAGGACCCCCTCCTCACCTCCATCGCCTGGGAGCTCAGCCAGATGACCCAGCTCACCGAGCTGAGTGTGGCTTTCTCCACACTGACCGGGAACATCCAGAAACTGCTCGGGTGAGTCTGGGGTGACCAGAGGGAGGTGGCAGGGTGGGTGCAGTCTCGGCTCACAGCCTCTTACCTGGGCCAGGGTGACACGGGACCCTCTAAAGCTAAAGATGCACCAAGAGCCGGATAGATGATGGGACCTTGTTACTTACAAGAGGCCCAAAGCAGGAGGGGGCAGACATGGGAAAAGGGTGGGAGTGTAGCGCTGGGAACTCACGGGGGACTGTTTTCAGTTAGTAAGCTACAGAGAAAATTACTGATTAGCAAACCAATAACACAGAAGTAACTATATTAGTGTGTTAATTACTTGTTATGGTAACAAATTACCCCAACACTGGGCTGAACAAGCTTGCCTCTGGGTTGCCTCTGGCTGTTGGTGGACTGTGGTCTCCTTGAAGGCCTGGTGGGCAGAAAAGTGGGCGATCTGCCTCCAGGTTCACTCACCTGGCCCTGGGCAGGTGGCCTAGGCTCCTCCTCACACAGGCTCTCCCCAAGCCTCTGGCTCCCCCCCCCCCCCCCCCCAGCCAAAGCGCCCCGGGGGGAAGGGCTGTCCTCCTCTCCTGAGTCCTCACTTTTGCATATTGTGCGGGTTAGGAGCCAGTCACCACACAAGAGTGGGAGCACCAGGGGGCCTGTGGGGCCACCTGCCATGAATATACTTATAAAAATTTATAGAAAATTGAGCTTCTCATTTCTTGAGCCAGGGAGTGTGAGGAGCCCTTTCCTAGTTTAGGGAGCCTTTTGCTTACAGGTGTTTCTCTTTTATGCAAGTTAACCCAAAACTGCCAGCCCAGGTGGCTGGAGGCCACACTCCCTCTCCTCTCCTACAGGTACCCCGGCTCCCCCAGGTCACCCATCGCTGTTCCTCCACCCCAATCTGCCAGGTAGAGGACTGAGGGCTCCCTTCCTCCTGTCTTCCACAGGACATTAATCTCCTACACAGAAACGGTGGCCGCCAAGCCCACGTACTAGTAAAATATGACGGGTGACTAGCTCCCTGGGACCTTCAGGACAGTCCTACATTTGGCTGGCTTGGTCCTCAGCCCACTTGTGCCGTTGTGCTGGGGGAATGTGTCCCACAGCCAGAGGGACCCTTCACAGGCCTGGCAGGGCTGTCATGTCAGCTCAGCCCCTGATTTGCCTTCTCATCGCCCGGCACACCCTGACCCTCCACTGGGTGGAGCCCGTGCTCCATAGCGTACCTCAGTCGGGCTGGTTGCTCAGTACCTGAGGTCCCTGGCAGGTCCAGGTGTGGAGGGTCAGGGAACGCACACTCCTGAGGTCACTTTGAGACTGAGGAACAGGCTTCTGCACAGTAGTGGAGAGGGGACCCCAGGTGGGAATGTGGCAGGGTCAGGGGTCAGCAGGGAGAGGGCAGTGTGAGGGAGGTGGCAGGGGAAAGGAGGAAAAGAGGGAAGGGCTCCAGCTTTTCCTGAGTGAGCAAAGTCCCGGAAGTTCTGAGCAGGAAGGTGGATGATCTGTGTGTATCCACAAGGGTCACTCTGACCTCTTTGGCGCACACAATGCACCTGGGTGGAGGGTTAAGGAGACCCACATAGGAGGCGTCAGGCACCCACGACCACCTCCGTTTGGTGATTCCTAGGAGGATTTAGCGCAGAGTAGTCCTCACAGCTGTGATTTATTAAGAAAAAGGACACAGCACAATTGCAAAGGGAAAGGCACGTGGGACCGGGCTGGGAGGCCTGGCAGGAGCTCCCAGGTCCTCTCCCAGTGGAGTCCCTGGACTCGCTTTATCCCTCAGCACCGTGTAGGGGCCCTCTGCCAGGGAGCTAGTTACACGGCCATGCCCAGGGTGTGTTGTGGGAGTTGGTAGGCGGGCTCTTCAGCCGGGCGCACACCCAGACTCCAGGTCCCAGAAGGAAGCAGGGGCTTGGTATGAACCAGCTTGTTTGTACAAACAATCCAGGGCCAGGGACCACCCAGCCCCAAGTCCCATCCCCAGACGCAGGCCTCCCAAGGTCGACAGTCAGGCCCGTACTGTTGGCCCTTTGGTACATAGCAGGCCCTGCCGGTCCAGGTAGGAGAGGACTAGGCTAGGACCATCTGTGAGCAGGGCAGGTGGTGAGCAGAGCTCAGGCCTGGACTTGATGTGAGGGAGGATTGACAGGATTTCCTCGTGGGTGGGTGTGGCATGAGAGAAACGGAAAGAGGAACATTCACCCATGGAGCCCAGCAAGGATGCAGAGAGGGCGCTGTGAGGTAGACAGCAAGTGCGCAGCTATGCAGGTCCATGGGCAGACGCCAGGCACCGAGTGCACACATAGTACAGGTGCAGGAGGTGGGAGGGGAGGCAGCTCCAGCAGGGGGATGGGCAGGACAGAGAACTTGACCCCGGGCATCCTCCGGTGCCCAGCGCTCACCTGGTGACACCAGGCACAGGTCCTGAGTCCCAGGTATGGCTGGACCGAGAACAGGCGTCTCTCACAGGCCCTTGGTGCATGCTCTTCCTGACTGAGGACCGCAGCCCCGAGCAGCGTCACACCCCGGCTCTGTGTCTGTTGCTGTGGGGCCACCAACATCAGAAAGGAGAGCTTTTAGGTCCCAGGCAAGGCCACGCCTGGACTAGATGGCTCCAAGGCCCTAAAACTGTGTGGCTTTTGCTCTTGAATGAAACCCGGGCATTTCATTTCCTGCCAGTTCACACGCATCTCACTGCCCCAACCAGTTTCTGAGCAAACCTTCTCTACAGAGACCTCTGTGGTCACTTCCCCACCAAGAGAGGTGACACAACAGATTCATCCTTGTAGGAGCTGTGGACAAGGCCAGACCTGTCTTTGGTGAAGTGAACTCTTCACTACACCCAGCCACACCACTCTCAAGGATGCAGTCTGGCCCTGGCCGGCTTGGCTCAGTGGATAGTGCATCAGGCTGCGGACTGGTTCAATTCTGGTCAAGGGCACATGCCCAGGTTGTGGACTCTATCCCCAGTGGGGGGCGTGCAGGAGGCAGCCGATCAATGATTCTCTCTCATAATTGATGTTTCTATCTCTCTCTCCCTCTCCCTTCCTTTCTGAAATCAATAAAAAAAAATTTGTTTTTTAAAAAACGGATTGCAGTCTGCCTTTCCGGCCCCAAAACAACCACAGACAGTAGATAAATGAGCGAGGCTGCATCCCAATAACAGTTTGTTCATGCCGCTGAAATTTCCTATCATTTTCTCATGTCACAAACTATTCTTTTGATTTGTTCAACTCTCAGAGCCATTTTAGCTCCCAGGCTGAGTGAAAGCAGGCAGCTGGTGGATTTGGCCCTGCAGTCATGGCTGCTGACCCCTGAGACAGTTACCTAATTGCCCCCAGAGCTCCTCACTGGGGAGCCTCTCACCTCTGCTGTTTTCCACCTGCCTGCAGCCCCCTAAGGACGCCGCTGAGAGCTCTGGACCTGGCCAACTGCTCCCTGAACCACGCGGACATGGCCTTCTTGGCAGGCTGCACCCATGCCGCCCACCTGGAGGTGCTGGACCTCAGCGGGCACAGCCTGATCCACCTTTTCCCTTCGAGCTTCTTTAGGCTGCTGGGCCGGGCCGCGCAGACGCTGAGGGTGCTCACCCTGGAGGAGTGCGGCATTGAGGACCGCCACCTGAGCACCCTGATCCTGGCCCTGAGCCCCTGCCAGCAGCTCCAGGAGCTCCGCTTCCTGGGGAACCCGTTGTCGGCCTCCGCCCTGAGGCGCCTCTTCCTGGCTCTCTGTGAGCTCCCCAAGCTGCGGTGGGTGGAGTTCCCGGTGCCCAAGGACTGCTACCCTGAGGGGGCCGCCTACCCCCAGGACGAGCTGGCCATGTCCAAATTCGACCAGCAGAAATACGAGCTGATTGCCGAGGACCTGCGTGGGGTGCTGCTGCGGGCCGGCCGGGACGACATCCAGGTCTCCACACCAGTCTTCGGAAGTTTCGACCCAGATATTCAAGAAACAAGCAACGAACTTGGTGTTTTCTTGCTGCAAGCTTTCAAAACGGCCCTAGAAAACTTTTCCAGGGCTCTGAAACAAATGGAGTAGGTGGGCCCTGCGGCAGGCACAGCGGGTCTCACCTTTCAGCCGATGGATCCGTGACCTCGGGGCCGGCAGCTTGGGCCCAGTGTTTGCGCCCTCATGACCATCATCCAAAGCACTTCTTAGTCCTGGCATCTGTTAGGCGCTATAGGAGATGAAGCCCTGCCTTCCTGTAGATGTGACTCGAGGTCACTTTAGGCTCAGAGCACAGCAGGCATGCAGGAGGGGAAATGCCCCGGGGTCGGTAGAAGCCCCCATCACAGCAGTGGGCACAGAGAAGCACCAGGGGACTGAGAGGGGCTGTCCTGGTCATGGTGCACCCCGCGCTGCGTGTGAGGTGCAGGCTGGTAGTGGTAGCGAGGAGGAGGTGGGAGAGAGGACATCAGCTGGCATGAGAGGGAAGAAATGAGAGTATATGTCACAACCAACTGGGAAAAGAGTGAAAGTGGAGAGCATGGGAGCCCCATGCTGTCCCACCCCCTCGCTTGTCCACAGTGCTGACGCTTACAAGGTGATGTCTGTTTGAATATTTACAACAGCCAATCGCATGGACCATGGGCTTTGGTTATCAATGGCTTTTGTCTACTTTTGAGCAGGTGAGCAGTGCCCAGGCTGCTGGCTGAGCCTGCGAGCACAAGGTGAAGGAACCACAGGGCCTGCCGGGAGGGTGTCTGCCACCGCAGGGAAACCACAGTGCCTGCAGTGACCCCACCCACTGCCCTCAGATTCTCGGGCCCTGAGGAGGACGCTCTGCCCTGATCTAAGGGAGCTGTCCTGGCGCTGGAGAGGAGGACGCAGGTGGACTTGGTTTCCACGAGCTCTGATTAGTGCAAAGTTGATTATTAGGATGATTAAATACAAATAAAACAGAAGTGTGTCTTATTCAGATATGATTTTAATTTCAATGCGATTTAATTTTAATTTTAATTTCAATGTGATTTTAAGTTCAGAGTTTTTAAAGGAACCTATGAAATAAAACATTTTTCTCAAGATAGAAGCTAGTACCTGGTCTGGCCAAATCCTCCTCATGCCACAACCATCCCAATGTTCCATGAGGGTTTGCATCACTGTGTGAACAGGTGCTGCCCCCTCTCCTAGTGTGCCCCTCCCCAGGTGTGTCCCCACCCGGGTACTCCTGCCCCTTTCTCCGGGTGTCTCCCATGCCTTTCTCCCACAATGGAGTGGGGCCTCTGGGGTTGGGTCTCCAGAGTGAGAGCCATCTCAGGGGTCTGCCTGCTGAGGGAGGCAGGAACCTTCCTTCCACTGAGTGGGCAGAAGCGGGAGGGAAGGGGTGACCTCCCATCAGATCTGCTCTCTGCTTACCTGCTGCATGTCTCAGCTCCGTCATGCTGGTAGTCCCTGGAATCCTATCTCAGGCACATGGAGTTTGCTATTGTAAGAAGCTCTCGGCAAAATTTTTAATGATTTGATTATACAAAGAGCAGAGTAGGTTCCACTGTTTGGGTCTGTGGAATTCTCTTGATGACAGACTTGGCCTCTGAGTGCCAGCCAGGTGGGACCCTAGCACATGTGCGGTTGAGCCCGGCAGCTGTGGTACAGAAGGGCCCAGGGGTGCTGCGGTGACCTGGGATTTGGGGAAGGGCAGGCACACAGGTGTCTGCTAGTGGCAAATGTGCCCTGGGGCCCTAGGGAACAACCCATTCTTATGAAGCCCAAGAGGCTGAGAGGCTCAGGAGAGCCACCATGAAGCCAAAGGAGCAGCCTGAGCGGGACCGTGCCTCTGCCCAGTCCCAGTGCAGCAATTAACGTGTTCCTGTGGACCTGCTCAGCCCCGACCCTGAACGTGCCACTTCCAGCCACGAAGGATTTTCATTGCACTTGCTCAGCCTGCAACTTGTGGCTCTGACAACGCCTGATACGGCAGCAGCTGTGGTGGGTTTCTGCCAGGGTCCATGAGCAGAAGATGTGGCCCCCACACAAAAGCAAACTGGGCATAAGAAAATGCACCCAGAAATGTCTAATCATGCCCACTCTCACCACTCCTGTTCAATATAGTCCTGGAAGTATTAGCCATTGCAATTAGACAAGAAGAAGAAATAAAAGGCATCCAAATTGGAAAGGAGGAAGTATTATTTGCAGATGACATGATATTATACATACAAAACCCTAGAGACTCCATCAAAAAGCTACTAGACTTAATACATGAATTTGGCAATGTAGCAGGATACAAAATTAACCCCAAGAAATCTGAGGCATTTCTATACACCAATAGTGAACTTTCAGAAAGAGAGATTATAAAAACAATCCCATTTACCATCGCACCAAAAAAATTAAGCTACCTAGGAATAAACTTAACTAAAGAGGTAAAAGACCTCTACTCAGAAAACTACAGGACGTTGAAAAAAGAGATAGAGGAAGACATAAACAGATGGAAGAACATACCGTGTTCATGGATTGGTAGAATCAACATCATTAAAATGTCCATACTACCCAAAGCAATCTATAAATTCAACGCACTTCCCATTAAAATACCAACGGCATACTTCACAGATCTAGAACGAACTCTCCAAAAATTCATCTGGAATAAAAAAAGACCCCGAATAGCTGCAGCAATCCTGAGAAAGAAGAAAATAGGTGGGATCTCAATACCAGATATCAAGATGTATTACAAAGCCACTGTTCTCAAAACTGCCTGGTACTGGCACAAGAACAGGCATATAGATCAATGGAATAGAATAGAGAACCCAGAAATTGGCCCAAACCAATATGCTCAATTAATATTTGACAAAGGAGGCAAGAACATACAATGGAGCCAAGATAGTCTCTTCAATAAGTGGTGTTGGGAAAATTGGACAGATATATGCAAGAAAATGAAACTAGACCACCAACTTACACCATACACAAGAATAAACTCAAAATGGATAAAGGACTTAAATGTACGACAGGAAACCATAAAAATTCTAGAAGAATCCAAAGGCAACAAAATCTCAGACATATGCCAAAGCAATTTCTTCACTGATACAGCTCCTAGGGCAGTTGAAACTAAAGAGAAAATGAACAAATGGGACTACATCAAAATAAAAAGTTTCTGCACAGCAAAAGAAACCATCAACAAAACAACAAGAAAGCCCACTACATGGGAGAACATATTTGCCAACATTATATCTGATAAGGGCCTAATCTCCAAAATTTATAGGGAACTCATACAACTTAACAAAAGGAAGATAAACAATCCAATCAAAAAATGGGCAAAGGATCTAAATAGACACCTTTCAAAAGAGGACATTCAGAAAGCCAAGAGACATATGAAAACATGCTCAAAGTCACTAATCATCCGAGAGATGCAAATCAAAACAACAATGAGGTACCATCTCACACCTGTCAGACTGGCTATCATCAACAAATCAACAAACGACAAGTGCTGGAGAGGATGTGGAGAAAAAGGAACACTTGTGCACTGCTGGTGGGAATGCAGACTGGTGCAGCCACTATGGAAGACAGTATGGAGTTTCCTCAAAAAACAAAACATGGAACTCCCATTTGACCCTGTGATCCCACTTCTAGGAATATATCCCAAGAAACCAGAAACACCAATCAGAAAGGATATGTGCACCCATATGTTCATAGCAGCACAATTCACCATAGAGATGATCTGGAAACAGCCTAAGTGCCCATCAGTAGATGAATGGATTAGAAAACTGTGGTACATCTACAGGATGGAATACTATGCTGTAAAAAATTGCAACGGCATGGATGGAGCTGGAGAGCATTATGCTAAGTGAAATAAGCCAGTCAATGAAGGAAAAATACCACATGATCTCACTCATTCATGGATAATAGAGACCATTATAATCTTTTGAACAATAATAGATACAGAGGCAGAGCTGCCTCAAACTGATTGTCAAACTGCAGCGGGAAGGCTGGGGAGGGTTGGGGGGCAGAAAAAAAAAAAAAAGAAATGTCTAATCACTGTGCTGTACCAGGGGCCAGACAGGTGAATCGAATGGAGACTTGATGGGACCACCATGTTGGACACCATGGGGACCACTGTGATGGACATGGTGAGACTATCATCCTGCACTGTGGGGACCACTGTGATGGACGTGGTGAGACTATCATCCTGTACACTGTGGGGACCACTGTGATGGACCTGGTGAGACTATCATCCTGTACACTGTGGGGACCACTGTGGAGGTCCTGGTGAGACTATCATCCTGTACACTGTGGGGACCACTGTGATGGACGTAGTGAGACTATCATCCTGTACACTGTGGGGACCACTGTGATGGACACCATGGAGACCACTGTGATGGACGTGGTGAGACTATCATCCTGTACACTGTGGGGACCACTGTGATGGATACCAGGGGGGACCACTCTGATGGACACTGAAGGACCACTGTGATGGACACTGGGGGTCAACCTTCCTGGACTTGTGGGTACCGCCATTTGGATCACGGGACACTGCCCATGCTGCCCCTTCGTCCTCTGTAGTGGATTAAGCATTGTTTTTCCTCGTGGAGTTCAGCACTACTTCCTGTTACCCATCCTGGCAAAGAGAGGGCACAGATTCAGGGGCTTCCACTTGTTCCATCCTAACGACCTTGTTCCAGACCGTCCTTTCTATTTACATATTCAGACGGCTCTTGGGCTGTTCTTTTTCTCCATTTTAAACCATTTCAGTTCAATAGTGTTTCACCATAATCTTACTTTATCCAGACACCTTTTGGTACATCTGTGAAGCCATCAAATGCCACCACATTGTGTGAACATTTCAAACCTAATATCAATTTTAGAAAGATAGATGGCTTCAAATTTACACTCAATTAAGTTTGCTGATGGAAGGCGGCGGTGCCATGCAAATACATGGCCGAATTTAATTTTCTGTAGAAAACTCGTCTTCCTAACCTTACAATCTAAATTGATTTGAATTATCTGAACATATCTAGCTGTTGAAGGAGGTGAGGCTGAGAGCATGTTGGAAATTAGAAAACACCATGAGGATTAACAATTCTCCTTGAAAACCATTCATCTACTAAATGCCTGGGTGTATTTTCCTTAAAGTCAAAACCAAGAGAAAAGCATTAAGTAGTTTACCCAAGGACATGTGACAAATCAATGGAGTAACAGGAACTAGGATATGCACCAGATTTCACTGAAGGCATCAGTTGCTCAGATCAGTGGTGGCAATATAGCAGAAAGACATTCTGAGCCTTTAAAGAAGTGTCAGACCACAGTGACCAGAACCCAGGAGCTCTGGGCAGAGCCAGGGGCAGAGGACCAGCACCCATCTCTTTAAATGTATTTTTTATTGTTGATAGTATTACAGATATCTCCCATCTCCCCCCCCCCCCGCCCCCCCAGCACCCATTTTAGGGAACTTACTGAGGCAGCTTCCTCATCTCTAAAATGGTTCTGAAGATTTAAACATGTCAGCATAAAATATGTAAGGTTCAGTGTGCGGTATGTACCCAACAAAGAGTAGCTCTAATGATTATACCCTACAACTTAACAGAAGTTCCCTATAAGCTTAATGTTTTTAATGTACATCTTATTGCCACATAGACAGACAAGCAGGCAGGCGGGGTGGAGACAGGATTTGAAACCAGATGGACCTCAACCCAGGCACTGCAAGGCCACTTTCATAATTGCACAGAAGTTACCAGCAGCTCTGGAGCCAAGCTGCCTGAATTCATACTGGCTCCAACATACCGCCAGGGTGACCTTGGGCAGGCTAACCTTTCCTGACCTCCATGCCACTTCCCTCCCCTGTAGAATGAGGACGTGCAGAAGAGTTCACACAGCATGCCCGAGGCTGGGATCCTCTGAAAGGTCTGCTTACAAGGTTGGCTCTTGGCTGGCATCTGGGGTCCTGTGTTTTGGAAGAGTTCCCACCGTTACTAGTAAGAGTGCTCACTGTGCCTAAACTTTGTACAGTTTGGACTGAACACTTCCTTCTGG